GACGAACCCAGCTGGGTTCCTTGGAACCTAGAGCTTGGGTTCGTCGAACCTAGCGCTAAGTTCCTTGAACCCAGAGCCTAGGTTCCAAGGAACCCAACACCGGCTGCTGGGTTTCTAAGGGGGGAAGGGTAAAGAGAAAGGGGAAAGAGAAGGGGAAAGAGAAGAAAAAAAGAGTTTTTTAAAGTTTTATTTTTCATATTATTAATTATTATTTTTATATTATTTTTTTTTGCCACGTGTATAATAATTTGCCACATCATCCTATAACAGTAAATTAACAGCATAAGTAATGTGATTTTTAACGGAGGGACCAAATCGGGGTAAGAATGGTAAACATTAGGGACTAAATCAGGGATTTTTTGAGTTGAGGGACTAAGTCGGGGGTCCGTACAATAGTTGAGGGACCAAAATGGGGGTTTAACCTTTTATTTAAACATTTTCTCTAGTACTGTAATTTTAAGAAAAGGTTGCAAACGGCCCTACAGGCTGGGAAACGTCTTCTCGTGGAGATTCCCTGCCCTCGTCAGTCTTAATTATTTGGTTAAAACCCCTTTTTGGTCCCTGAACTATTGTATGGACCCCCGATTTGGTCCCTGAACTAAAAAAATCCCTGATTTGGTCCCTACTATTTACCATTTTTACCCCGATTTGGTCCTTCCATTAAAAATCGTTTGTTAACTCACAGATATATCAAAAATTTAAGCCACGTCAGTTGTACATCTGGATAAATGATGACATGGTCATACCCAACACAAAAACAAAAGTGGGGCCCACCAAATTACAATTTTGCATCATCTTTTTCCTCCAGCATCTTTTTCCTCCAGCATCTTCTTTCTCGAATCTTCCTTCATTCACACAATCAATTCAATCAAATAATCAATTCAATATCCTTCATTCACACAATCAATTCAATCAAACAATCAATTCAATATCGAACCCAACAATTCTTCATCTTAATCAAACAACCAAACCCACAAAAAAAAAAAAAAAGAAATTTTTTTGCCCCTGGATTCGAACGAACCCAACTCTTGGGTTCTCGAAGGAACCCAGTGCTCAGATTCAAGAAAAGACCCAGCGCCTGGGTGCAAACGAAACCCAGGCGCCTGGGTTCGAGAAGAAACCCAGTGCCTGGGTTCAATCGAACCCAGCACTGGGTTGGAAGGAACCCAGAGCTTGGGATCATCGAACCCAGGCAATGGGTTCCTTCGAACCTAGCTGGGTTCGTTGAACCCAACACATGGGTTCGTCGAACCTAGGCGATCTAGGTCCGTTGAACCCAGGCCGAACCCAGATCGCCTGGGTTCAATGGACCCAGATCGCTTGGGTTCGACAGACCCAGATCGCCTGGGTTCGTCAAACCCAGCACCAGGTTCGTCGAACTCAGCCCTGGGTTCGACGAACCCAGGTCCAGGCGACGAACCCAGGCGAACCCAGCGCCTGGGTGGGTTCGAAGGAACCCAGGCCTGTTGGGTTCCGAGGGGAAGGAGGAAGAGAAAGGGGAAGGAGAAAGAGAAAGGGAAAGGGAAAGGAGAAAGAAAAAGAAAAAAAATTTAAGTTTTATTTTTCATAATATTTTTTATATTATTTTTTTCCACATCATCACTTTTTATATTACTATATGACATGTCATCTGATAACTGTTAAGTAACAGGTCACGTCACAAAATTTTTAACGAAAGGACCAAATCGGGGTAAAAATGGTAAACAGTAGGGACCAAATTAGGGATTTTTTTAGTTCAGGGACCAAATCGAGGGTCCGTACAATAGTTCAGGGACCAAAAAGGGGTTTTAACCTAATTATTTTCATTTTATTATTTTAAAATAAGATATTTTAAAGAGTTGAATT